AGAGAGAATTTTAAATACAGTAAAAACAAACCATGGAATCATGTGAATATCATCAATTTGTGTGTATTTATTTTTGATTTTTTTTTGTAATGCATGATCTCTAATCTCACTATTTACCTTCAAGTTTCCACACACACATAGACAGAGACACATACACACATTAGAAATGAAAATTTCACTTCCACTCTAGTCATTTTCTAAATTTGCTTCATTTGTAAATATGTTGTAGAGATATCCCAGTGAGTGATCTGTCACGATAAAAATCATTTTATGTTTGTGTGTGAGTGTGTGTGTGTGTGTGTGGCAGCTTTAAGTTATGGGAAATAAGAGCTATAAAAATAATTTATGTAACCAGCCTACTGCACAGAAATGGTTTTAGGTTGTGTTTTTTTGTACATCACAAGATTGCATATATAATCCAATAAACTGAAAAAATGAAAGCTAATTCCCCAATCTACTGTCAAGATAAGGAAGTTTGATTTATGTCGACTACTACTACTACTAAAAGCTGTAATTATAAATACAAGCCAGAGACCACCTTGCTGGTTGATTCAGTCTAGCCAATCATTAACTAACAGATATGTAGTAGAGACTTGGAGAATGTTCTTATCTTTGCTTCCATAGTCTGTGTACTAAAATAGAATAAACTTGAAATTAATTAGGCAATGAAGTAGTGTATACGCAATGTTCATCAATGCCCACTTTGACCTAATTTGATGACGGTAAAATAGTCAAATAGATTACGAATATAAAACAGATGTAGGTTAACAAAGATTTTTGTGAAAGTTAATGTTTGGTAGATTTTTTGGTTTTGGCCGGCGGCCGCCTACAGGTAACAAGTGTGCCACACAGATGTGATTTAAACTTGTTATTTGCAGCAAATTATGCAGGTCACAGGTGAGATGTTTTTCTCATGATTCACTTTTGGGAAACTAAAAGAAAACCAGACATATCACAGATAAAATAGGTGATCTGCTTGGTGTAGTAATTAAGTGAAGAAGAGCATGGTGGATTTCCCCTTCAAAAATGTGCAGCTGGCTATAATCAGCGCTCTTTGAAATGAATCGGCTCTCTGAAGTATGTGCTGAAGATGTCGCCTAGTAGTAGGGCGATGAAAGCTTCACAAATTAACTATCCACTAACTCAGAGAGAACAGAACCACATCAAAATCATCCCCTGAGCTACAAATCTTCTCTATCATAACTCAGGTAGTTTAAAATTAAGACCCACTACTAAGTGGTCGGTGGTATAGTGGTAGAATGCTTGCCAACCACACATGTAGTCCAGGGTTCGATTCCCTGCCAATGCATTAGTAGTTTACCTAGCTCAGGCAGTAATAAGACTGGTAAAGAAGGAAGCTTGGGCATCAGGCTAGCAACTCTATGCCGTGAAAATAAACACCACTGTTACCGAAACTTCAAGCTAGAGGCTTGAAGCCTTATGTTCCACACTGGAAACGTTCAGGGATAAAATAATAAAATTAAAAAAAACTAAACAGTCACATTTCGCTGAATCACAATCAAAGAAAATAAATATTTCAGAACATTGAACTAAAAATTGGTTAACAACTGAAATCATACTAGGGGTATGCGAGTTGATATCGACACGATTAATCTGATAATAGTAGTCATTTCAACCAAACTGGCAATCGAATTTCGATTCGGGTTGGCTTTTAGCAATTTTAATACTCTAATATCAAACCAGTGCTATTTTCTGTATGCTTCAGGGACTTAATGCGTAACGAAAACCATTTGCAACAGGCTAATACGAACCTTTTTCAACAGTTTTCTTTGCTCTATACTGAATATTGGGGAGTGTACCAGAAAGGACTAGAAGCCACAATCTCTTTATTTATTTGGTTGTGTTCGCTGAGCTGGTTGATTTCATTGCGAAGCTTTTATCATCCTCCTAGACAACATATTCGGTGCAAACTTTAACACTAAAGCTGAGGAGATTCTTCTCTGAAGTCAAGCCCCACGCCGTCGAGTGGAGACCAGACATGGAGTCACAAGTTGGGCGTGTATCCCAAGACTGGCATGGAGAAGATCATATAAAGAGAAGATGAAAGTCTATGGTCAGTCGTGTAGTCAGGCGAGAATGACAGCAGACAACAAAATGAAGTGGAAATGTGATTTTGAAACTCCAGGTTCCAATCGAATCTCATGGAAATAATAAGAATAAGAATAATAAGGAACTTCAGTCAGTTTCAATGTATATTTTTTCTTGCGAACTGATTCCATCAAAAGAATCATTGAACATCAGAGACCAGTGCACAGCTGTTTTGTCCTAACCTAGCACCCATGACTACACCAGACATCAAAACCATGAATTTGGGGTTCTGTAGAATACAGTCCGGTAGCTGCATGGTCTGATCAAGCGTGCACAGTGATAAAATGTCCTAAACTATGACAAAGCAGGTATCTGGTGGTTCCTGACTTTCAATTACTCTACAGATGATACCAGTTTATGAGGAAGTCGAAGTCAGAGTTGGTCAAAATCTCAAAAAAATCCAGAACATAAACTTGAATGACATTTTTTAAGGGAAATATTGTTATTTTAAGTTGAGCCTGTTTATGTCAATGTGCACAGCATAAACACTATGTACTGGTTAGTGTTGAAGCAAAGGAAATATTGCTGTAGTGAGTAAATCAGAGCAAAATATAATTTTGTAGACTTTATAATACTGCTTAGCTCGCGCCGTGTTCAAGGTGATCAAGAATGATCTGATTCCGGGGAAAGCTCACGATGCACCTCGGTGGGTTTAAACTCGCGACAGACCCTAATCGGGTGCATTCATGCGTGTAGTTTCGTCAGTGGGGAGGCCTCACGGTGCGTCAGTGGCACAACGGCTATGACGCCCGCCGATCGTGCACATGGTCCGGGGTTCGATCCCTGCCGACACACACATGATATCTATGGTCAGCCTGCAAAATTTGGGCTACCGGTATCACATGCTCAAAATTCTTTACCTGTACCATAAAATATGGTGTGTGGAATCAAGCTGTAATCAAAAATTTAAAAGAAATGAAAAAAATGGTGGAGACTACTACGATAGACTATACACTAGTTAAGACTGTTAGTAACATGCTTGAAAATCGTTCAAAGGAACAGTGACGTATTCATATCCCGTCATCTTATAGATTCTCAAAAGTTCCATCAAGATTTTTTTCACTATTCTCTTCATTATATTCAATATTTGTCTATCGTAATGCCATTCTTCTTGTGTGTGTGTTGTTTAGTGAAATGTAACAACTGATGTCAGTTTGTGGTCAGTTTTGAAATCAACTAAATCCCTGCAAACAAATACTTCAGAGGCAATCTAGCAGTTCCTAGTGACTGACTCTACAGGATATAGTTGTGACCAACGTCATGCATCAATTTAGGCGTGAGAACAGATACTTGACGATGATATCGGTTGGCGGTCGCGCTACGAATCGCGAATCAGTAGAAATTAAAATTGATGGGCCATTGGATTCCATCCCAGCGGTTGAATGGCATACAAGCTCACCTTATAACCTCCAAGTTATGGATTCGATCCCCGGTAGGATCATGCATGCGTACCACTGAAGAGTCCAAAATGGGACAAAACAAATGTCCAGTAGTTACTGTTGGTTTTCAATGCCTCTCTAACTGAATTCAGTTTGTAATCAATTCTGTAACTAGTTCAGTTGACTGAGTGACTCTTTATTTAGTCAGCCTATTGCAACCATGTACGACTTTTACACAGCAGTCTGTAGTTAAATTTATGCGACCAGAAACTCTCTACCAACACCCCTGAATACTTTGTTCTGCTCATTTGTGTTTCTCTATAATGATGGTATGTTATTTTGCTTGACACATTTGTGATTTAGATGATATATAATAAGTTAAAGTAGAGATAGTATAAAGCTGCTTCGCCTAAGAACAATCAAAAGGGCAGTTGGGACAGTTTAGAAGTTCATAACATGATAGTGATAATTTCTTCATGTATTATAATTACTTTTCAGCATTTCCTTTAATTCTCAAAGGAACATAGGGCTTCAGTCACGCGTCTACATTGCGTTCGATTCTCTGCTAACGTTTTCACCTGGCTCCAGGTCTGTCCACATGCTTTCATCTTCTCTTCACATGAACTCCTATAAGTCACCCTCACATTGACGAACAACTCGCCGCTTCCCGTTCGGGTTCCATTCGAGCAATGGCTTGTCTAGTGATGTCACTTGATGGTTTGTTTTCCCAGAACATGGCCAATCCACCTCCAGTTCTTCCTGCTTATTTGTTGTACAATCGGTTCCTGCTGGGTTGGTTCGCTCATTTCCAGAGATCCTATTGCTGATCTTTTCTGACCGGCCATCTGATCCCGAGTATTAAGTGGAGACAGCTGATGATGAAAGTGTGTAGTGTGTTTGAGGTGCTCTTCATGACGTGGCACCAAGTCTCTGATCTATATAGTCAGTAGCACTGAATTTACACTGGATTTGAAAATCTGGATCTTATTTTCATGTTGAGTAATCTTGACCTCCACACAGACTAGAGAGAAATGAAAGCTTGCTTTGCTTTCCCGATCCTTGCTTTGATATCCTTATCAGTCCGTCTGCCTGTAGTTAAAACGATGCTTCCCATGTAGGTAGGTGAAGGAGGTTGTTTCTTTCAGGTTCCTCTCATTTATGCTGGCTGATTGTTTTCTGTTTTTGTTGCTGTTGGTGTTGTCCAGAAATCTTCATCACTTACCTCTGTTTTATCTCTGTTCTCCTGAAGTCTTATCTTTGATGCTTCTTCTGCCAGCTTGTTGCTTTTCACTTGCATATCTTCCAGTTTGTGGAAAATCAGACAAATATCATCGGCGAAGTCCAGATCCTGCAAGTTTTTCGTGAAGGTCCATTTAATGCCTGTTTCCCCGCTGCCCAATGTCTGCCGCATTATCCAATGAGACATGAGCATCTCAAATTAAAAGGAAATACAGTAAGACGGCACCATTTCATATAGCATATTTTCTAGTGCATCAAATTATGCAAACTTACCAGCACATATAAGATTATTCAATTCTGGTTTACTATTCTTGTATACAGCGCCTAACGCTCCACCAGTATCTCGAAAATCTCTTGCAGGTGGTTCACTAATAATCTTGCCCGATTTATTCGATCCATTCGATTCTAATCCATTTAAATCGTCTGAAGATGACAGAACTGTTCGTGTCCAACCGGTAATTTCACGTATACCATGAAATTTACTCAACAGAAATGCTTGACAATCTCCAACACTTGCTACGATTACAGCGAATTGAGATCTTCCAACTGGTGAAGCAGCTGCGTCATCGTATATTGGATTCGATTTATTCACCATCTGTTTTGGTAGTACAGGTAATATTAATGCAACACAAAGTGTTGTTAAACCAGTAGTCACCGAGACAATTTCTTCTTGCGCATAAGAAAATGCTTCGAATAATAATTGAGCAGCATCCTAAAGAAAAAGTGAGGAGAAACGAGAAAATTTATAAAAGTATGGAGATAAAACAGAGGGATTAAGATACATGGATGGTTACCAGGTGTAAAACAAAATGCAGACTAAAATTTTCCCCCACATTAAGCATCACTTTCACTGATAACGTCCTCAAAGGTTGGATCATATAAAACTTAAAACTGAAACTCCATAACCCTTTGTTCTCTGCTGCTTTTTCAAACTGGCTTCAGGACTGGTCACAAGCTTTTATTTACTCTACACACACACACACACGATCCCCTCCAAGTTACCTATAGATTCATGATTAATTCGTCGTATTCCGTTCGGATTCCACTTGAGTGTCTTTTTTTTTAGAGTTTTTTTATTTTTGATTACAGCTTGATTCCACACACCATATTTTTTGGTACAAGTATGGAATTTTCAGCATGTGATGTCGGTAGCTCAAATTTTGCAGGCCGACCATAGATATCAGGTGTGCGCCGGTAGGGGATCGAAACCCGGACCATGTGCATGGTCGGCGAGAGTCCTAACCGTTGTGCCACCGACGCACAGGAGTGAAATGTCACTCAATGTTCTTCTAAGCGTATGTCCTTCGGAGTATCTGTTGGTAAAACAGGATTCTGGCTGCTTTTTGCTAGGATTCCTTATCTCTTATCTTTTTTGTCCAATTTATCTTCACTATAGAGCGAGGGAAGCACTCTACTGATGAACGTCTGCAGTGGCCTATTGGAAATTGTTTTGGTGATGTCCACGCCAAGTATCTGAAGGGTATAAAATCACCGGGTCACCATTAATGTTGAGAATCTTAGTCGTGTTCTATATATATATATAGAAAAAATAATGTGAATTGCGACAGTATATTAGTGATTATGGTCATAGTTAAACATCAAGTGACAAAAACTAGGTTCTGTAACCTAAGTTTTTCAAGACTTGTCAATATTTCAAACTCTTCTTGTAGTGGTTGTTGAGGTCCATTACACAGACTTGACTAAAACAAGAATACTCATCTACGAATGACTGAAGAATCAGCTAAAAACTTTTACACAGAATTATTGACACATGAAGTGGCTACACAAGAATATAATGGAACTGTAATGGAAACACAAGGATATGTTCGAGAGAGAATGACTGAGTGAATAGTTATAGAGAAGATTTTTAGCATTTCATTTACACAAACACTATTCATAGTCATCTGTTAAGACGGATACCTCGTCTATGGAAAACTCCAAATGCTCACTACACACTGAAATTAGCGCTGGATATATTGTCTTGAAGGGCAATGAAAGTTTCTCTATTGAACCATCTAGTTCAGAGAACAGAACGGCACCAAAATACATTCATTTAAGCTGGAAATCTTCTCCATCGTTCCAGAACACTAATATACCTTTTTATATTTTGATAATTATTATTGTTAGACTATTTTACGCAGAACTCAACATATATTACATAATTATTATATTATATTATTATTGTATCCTTTAGTTCCTAGAGGAACATAGGGCTTCAGCTGCGCACCTCCATTGACTTCGGTTTTCTGACAACTTTTTCACCCTGCTCCAGGTCTGTCCACATGCTTTCATCTCCTCCTCGCATGACCTCCTCCAAGTCACCCTTGGACGACCAACTCGCCGCCTCCCTTTCGGGTTCCACTCGAGGGCTTGTTTGCGATGTGGCCACTATTCTAGGTAGCTCGCCATCACAGTGCACATTGATTTGATGATATTAGATAGTTGCAGGCAGTCGGAAGGAGGCCTTGCTTGACCCAGGTTTCGTGCTAGTTGGTACTCACCAGTCAGTCAGCAAGGCGTATCTTCAACCTTGAAGGAAGTCATTTCCCTTCATGTTCCACTACAATCCTACGGGAGGTCAATCACGAGCTCGAATAACTCAGTGATAACGTCTCTGACTGCAGCACTGGGTGATATGGGTTTGAACCTAAGGAGGGACATGAGTCCCTTCAAGGTTGCAGATACGCCTTGCAGACTGGTGAGTGCCAACTAACAAGAAACCTGGGTCGAGCAAGGCTTCCTTTCGATTGCCTCCAGCTGTCTAATATCATCATGCTGCTATTGTTTGAATTCAGCTCACAGACACAAGCTTTTCATGTTCAAGGCTATGAGTCCCCACGTATTGTGTATGTGTGTGTGTTTGAGATGATAATACTGTCCAGTTGTCGGCCAGGCTGAAGTAAGCCGGTGGGGTGGGATTCGAACCTAGGACCCACTGCTTGAGAATCGACCACCTACGTGTAAGTGAAGCACATATCAACAAAGGTAACATTAGTAGATTTGAATAGAACAAAAAATATTACAAATATACTTAGTCCAATGAAAACTTGTAAAAAAACGAATCTGTTGAATAAACTAGAGAGAAATTAATGAACTTGTTTGTATCAATTATGTCTTGGCGAAATTCGACCTGTGCCAAATGTTGGATACAGGATCATGCTACAAAATAACTGACAAGAGAATCAAAGAATTAAAAAAAAGTTGGAACAAGTATTGTGCTGGTTAAGTTCATGTTTCATGTCTGTGTGCGGATGTGTTTCTGGAGCGAAAATAATCACTTCTATCCAAAGTCCAGACTTTGTTGGTGCATACACCATTGAATGTATTCCAGTCGACTAATTATGAATAAATTAAAAGCAGTCAACAACACTGGATAATCTATTCCTGAATTATTTACATTTCAGAAAAGTGGTCAGCATACTGATTATCTGTATACTAAACTAAATCTGCTGACTTTTGATACAAGCGTAAATGATTCGAAGTAACTGTTTATTATTATTATTTCCTTTAATTCCTAGAGGAACATAGGGCTTCAGCTGCGCGTCTTCATTGCGTTCGGTTCTCTGCTAGAGCTTTTACCTGGCTCCAGGTCTCGTCTTCACATGACCTCCTCCAAGTCACCCTCGCATTGATGACCAACTCGCTGCTTCCCTATCGGGTTGCACTCGAGCGATGGCTTGTCTAGTGATTTCACTTGATGGTTTCCTCAGAGTACGGCCAATCTACCTCCATTTCTTCCTGCTTATTTGTTGTACAATCGGTTCCTACCGGGTTGGTTCACTTGTTGCCAAAGATCCCTCATTATTGCTGATCTTTTCTGGCCATCTGATCTTGAGTATTGAATGAAGACAGCTGTTGATGAAGGTCTGTAGTTTGTTTGAGGTGCTCTTCATGACGTGGCACCAAGTCTCTGATCCATATAGTAAGTAGCACTGACTTCACATTGGAGTTTAAAATCGGGATCTTTTATCACTTTCATGCTGAGTGCTGTTGAAATCCACACGGACTTGAGAGTAATGAAAGCTTTGATATCCTCGTCAGTTCCACCTGCAGTTGAAACGATGCTTTCCAGGTAGGTAAAGGAGGTTGCTTCTTTCAGATTTCTCCCATTCATGCCTATTGTTGTCTGTTGGCAGGAAACTTCATCAACTCTGTTTTCTCTTTGTTCACCTGAAGTCCTATCTTCTCTGGATGCTTTTTTTCTATCACCAACTTGTTGCTTTTCACTTGCATATCTCCCAGTTTGTGGGAAATCAGACATATATCATCATCGGTGAAGTCCAGATCCCCCAAGTTTTTCGTGAAAGTCCACTTAGGGTCTGTTTCCTTGCTATCCACTGTCTATCGCATTATCCAACCTACCGCAGTCAGGAAAACCATTGGTGAAAGTAGGCAGCCTTGTCTTGCTCCCGTCTTGACTTCGAAGTTAAAAGTGACACATTATCAAGTAATTGTTGGCTTTTACAGCAAATAATGTTGTCCTTATCAATAGCTGCTCTCTTGACGCGAGGGTGGAGCCTGCAGTGATTACGTGAGCTAAATTGGCTGGAACTGATCCTACCATACCAGAAGTGTCGTTAAGATAGCGGCTAGACTAAAAGCAATTACCACCATAGTGTTGGTTGCTTACACTATGTTGGGGGTCTGTGGGCAAGGTCGTATTACTGGCGAATAGGGATGTCACACCAGCAAGACGTTTTTCTTGGACGATCAAGTCAGTTATTTCACCTCTCCACTATGGAGACGGCGTGGTTAGAAAAGGTCTACCACGGAAAATTGCACATTGGAACTTACTTTGCCATGGTAAGACCTTAGTACGGATGAAACTCCAAAAACCACTCCAAATATGCCGTCTGTGTGATCGGTTTCAAGGAGTTTCCCTTCGGCTCTATTGTCAGGCAGCTAATCTAAGAAGTGACCAACTTCCATGGTGTGAGCAGTTTGGAAGTAATAACCTTCCATAGCCCCCCCCCATAAGTACACAAAACCCTCATGACCATCACCGCAGTCGGCTATCGTTGAACTCAGTGTATGTAGGTTATGAAAACAGTCATTAACATTATTAACAAAAATTGACTAATAAACAGAATACATATTCTTACTCTTGTATCTCTTATTTCATGTTTATCTTTCATACTACCGAACAAATGACATTCCAAATAGGCATATATCGCCGACACTGCTGATCTTGCTGCTTTCATTGATTCAGTGCCCCAGTTGACTCCGTCAGCAACTGCTAAATATGCAGAATCGTGTCGAGCTCTTACAACAAATGCGTCGGCAATTGGATCACCTAAAAATGAATGGAAAATTGTAAAGTATTAGTGAATAGATGTTCGTGGGTTAGTGTGATGTTGATGTACTACTGATTGGTTGATATGAGTAGGTGGAAGACAATCAGTCATCTGAAACCATAGTACTTGCTAACCAGACAGAAGTAATCCAAGCACTGGATGGCTATTTCGTTCTTTTGAGACCGAGCTCATCAGCAGTTTACCAGGTTAGGTAGACTTAACTCGGAGAGGGAAATTAGATCAAAACATCCGATTCAGTGCAAATGTATTCTGAACAAAAACATATCAGATGATTAAGCCTTTCGTCTTCATTCGTTTACGTTCCGAGTGAAGCATTGAGCTTCAGGCTTCGAAGTTTCAGTAGCAGTGATAAATTTTGAGTTTTGCGTAGTGGGATGGCTGTTTTCATGACCAATCTTTCTTTTTTTCCTGGCTGACTACCACTTAGTTAAATAGGCGAGGTTTAAGAGCACGTCATTCGGAAATCGAGCATGATTAGACAGATGAAATGCATCTACTCGAAGGATTTGCTGTTGATAAAATATGAAAGCATCAAAGATAGATAGTTCAAACGAAAACGAAATGTACATTATTACGGGAGTTATAAGGCAAGGACGAATTACTTTTGGACGTGTAAGGAGGTGAGAGTGCGGGGGCGGCAATGCATTTTCATTTTAGTTAACCTGACTACAAATCACTCAAATTTAAATACAGTCGTTTTCTTGGGCATTTAGAGAAACTAGTCATCACATTATTCGATAACTCCTATCTACCTTTAACTGAATACACGCAAACACTCACTTGGAAATATATACAGGCAGTGAGATATCGTACAGTCTGTCAGTATTATAAAGTTTTTAAGTTTTCATGTTAGAACATGAGTTTAATCTGTAGGTTACCCTCTGGATGCTCTATCATGCCCTTATCTTATAAATAACAATATGTTCACTTTATTTCTGGAGGAATATTTAGGTGCCTATCAAGGTTGCCATTCAGTTAGCATCTTAAACACTTAAATCCCATTCGAAATGATGAAAGGGCTATTCAAAATCAGGAGGATATAAACACTTAATTTGTCTTTTTCGAGTTTGACCAAGGATTAGTATCAGTTAGAGAACCATTGAAAAACAGGGAATACTGCCAGACAGCTGTTTCATTTTACTTTGGAAATCATCGGTGGTACGCACCCACCATCAAGGTTTGAAACCATGATCTTCAGCCTACAAGACAAGCTCGTATACCATTCAGCCAAAGGGAACCAACTCGATTGCCAGCCCATGAATTATAACTTCTACCAATTAGTTGTGCGTCGGAGGCACAGCGGTTAGGACGCTCACCGACCATGTACATGGTCCGGGGTTCGATCCCCGGCCGACACACTCCTTTTTACCTCGCTAAGCTAGAAGTAAAGCTGGTGAAGAGGAAAGGTTGGGCATGAGACTGGCAACCCTATCCTGTAAAAATGATTACCACTGCTACAGAAACTTCAAGCCTCTAGCTTGAAGCCCTCCCTATGTTCCACTGGAAACGAGAAGGAAAAAAACCAGTTAGTGGTTAGACTCGAAAAAGAAATCTAATCCTTACAAAACAACTCTTGAACATTATTCTTATGCTTGCCAGTGACTTTCCAACAGAACAGAGTTTCCTAGAGTTCTAATGAGAAGTCGTGACCAGTGAGGTCCATCTAGTCAGGGGTGAGGATGGAGTTCCCACCTTTGGCATTGTTTAGTGGTCGCTCTAAAATCACGAATTGGTAGAAGTTAGAATTCATCGGCCGGCCATTGAGTTGGGTCCTAGTGGCTGAATGGTATGCAAGCCAGCTTGCCTTGTAACCGGAAGGCCATGAGTTCGAAACCTGGTGGTGGACGTTAAACTGTCGATGATTTCCAAACTAGGATGAAACAGCTGTCTTGAGGTTCTCCCTGGTTTTCAATAGCTCTCTCAGTAACATAACCATCGTGTTATTCGGATGGTGACCAACCTCCTGTTAGAATTCAGTCAGTATTAAGGACTAGACATATGACATCAAGCATTCTCTATTGACCAATAAAGAGGTCACTGACGATCCCAATAGTTTAGTAGCGAAATCTCTGACTTCAGTAGTGGGTGAGATGTGAGGATTAGTTCGGGTCTCTAATGAAATTTCACTTCCTTTGGTGGAATAACAGATAAGCCTTGTTAATGAATGTTGATAAGCTCAGAGAATCCAGGTCCAGGAGTGATTTTATCGATTACCTGCAACTATTTAATACTAGTCATACATTTATATCTAAGCATACGCGTATTCTGTGGACCGGATAAGCACTAGAGTGAGAGACCAATAAAAACCATTAAAGATAATCGTTTTCTTCTGTTTTGTTTTTATACGCTGACGTTTTCATGTTCCGCCCTTCTAACTTTTATGACTTGACAGGAAACATACCTAGAGATACAAGTTTACAATTTTTTTTAAAAATTATATTCCGCATGAAAATAAAACTATTTTAGAATAAATAACACTTAAAGCGTAAAAATATGATTATTTATTTATAAGTTGAATCAGTTGGAATAGTTTATATTTCCCATAGGAACAAACAGAAATACTGTGACAATGTTCAAGATTCTATCTACATTTTGTTTTATTATTAATGTTGGTAATTTTTTTTAAAAAAATCAGCTATGCAATAGATTAAAACATGACTTTAAAAATACATTCTGAGAAGTAGTTTCCATTGGTTAATCACTAAAAATCCAAGATGATTTAATGAGCCGCTGACAGTATGAGATGTTTATTTGAATAAAGGGCAAACCTACTTCCGTGTTTGGTTACTAGATTTCATTATGAGCTGACATCAGTTAGAGAACCACAGAAAAACCTGCAGGGAGTACTGGACAGCTGTTTCCTTCATCCTAGTTTGGGAATCTTCATCAGTACGCTCCCATAGGGATTCGAACTCAGGATCTTCTGGTTACAAGGCGAGCTCGTAGACCATTAAGCCACTGGGACTCGATCCAATGGACCATGAATTTTAACTTCTGACAATTTACGATATAGCACGACTCCTATCCAATGTCTTCGGCGAGTATTTGTTCTCACACTCGACCTGCTGCATCCTACTGGTCACGACTTCTCACCAAAACCACAGGTAACTGCCTACCTGAATAGGGCAGGTTGCCAGTGAGCATCTCATCGATATTCAAGTGTTGGCTTGTAGGGATTTGATTGACTGGGTACAGGATTTCATGGGCCACTGGATCAGGTCCAGTGACTTAATGGTGTTCGAGCTCGTCTTGTAACTAGAAGGTCCTGGGTTCGAATCCCGGCGGGTGCGTACTGCCGATGATTCCAAAACTAGGATGAAACAGCAGCTATCCAGTACTCCCAAGTTTTCCAATGGTTCTCTAACCAACGTCAGCTCATGATGAAATCCTGTAACCAATCAATCAAATCCCTACAAACCAAGACTTGAATAATATGGAATTATACCCTGTCACAATACTGAATTTTACTGTAACGTCAAAATAACATAAAATTAGTTCGAAAATATTAGGCTGCAGGGAAAAATCAAAGGAATGAAAACATTTTCACCACTGTAACCTATTTCATAAATCCTTGAAGACTGTAGACCTGGATCTTACACTTCCTTACATATATCCAACTTACAATATGAAACTTCGTGTATCTGGCTATCGTGTCTGGCTATCCATAGCACCTGTTCAAAATTGTTCTAATTCAGAGAGTTTACTACTGAAAAATGTGAGTAGTGCTGAGCTACTCACATAAAAAAACGCTTTTACGTAAATTGAAGTTACCTAAAATCCTGATTGTTGCTTTTAGTTTCATTTGGGACAAAGCCTATAAGTGTGATATGTCCCAGACTGACTAAGCTTACACAGGTGAAATCTCAGGCAAGTTCAGGCTAAAATTTTCCTATCACTTCATTTGCAAAACTAAAAAGTGGGAAGCCGTGACCAGTAGGGTACAGCAGGTCGAAGATGAGGCAGTAACTCATCGAAGAAGACATTGCGAAGTGGTCGCGCTATGTCGTGAATCGGCAGAAGTTAGAATTCAAGAACCACTGGATCGGGTCCCAGTGGCTCAATGGTTTACGAGCTCGCCTTGTAACCAGAAGGTCCTGGGTTCGAACCCCGGTGGGTGCGTATTGCTGAGGAGTCCCAAACTAGGACGAAACAGCTGTCCAGTACTCCCAGGTTTTCCAGTGGTTCTCTAACTGATGTCAACTCATGATTAAATCCTCCATACAATAAAAACTAAAAAGTGTTTAAATCATGAATCATCTATTTTCAAATACACTAGCGATAATCTTAGCCATAAATGAAACGTGGAACGACTATTAATTGATTCAGTGGGACTAACTGAGTTAACGTGTTATCAGTTTGCCCAAGCAGCTAGCCGGAATTCAGGTAGTCTGAACTGATTCGGCTCTGTTAGCTTAGTCGAATCGGGTAAAGTGATGATGAGATCGTTGCCAAACTAGCGATATGGCCTACCGCATCATTCTTCATTTTCATGCTGAGTGCTGTTGACCCCATACAGACTAGAGAGAAATGAAAGCTTGCTTTGCTTTCCCGATCCTTGCTTTGATATCCTTATCAGTCCCGTCTGCCTGTAGTTGAAACGATGCTTCCCATGTAGGCAGGTGAAGGAGGTTGTTTCTTTCAGGTTCCTCTCATTTATGCAGGCTGATTGTTTTCTGTTTTCGTTGCTGTTGGTGTTGGCCAGGAATCTTCATCACTTACCTCTGTTTTATCTCTGTTCTCCTGAAGTCTTATCTTTGATGCTTCTTCCGCCAGCTTGTTGCTTTTCACTTACCTATCTTCCAGTTTGTGGAAATCAGACAAATATCATCATCGGCGAAGTCCAGATCCTCCAAGTTTTTTGTGTGAGTCCATTTTATGCCTGTTTCCTCATTGCCCGTTGTCTGTCGCATTATCCAATCTACTGCAATCAGGAAGATCATTGGTGATAGTAGACAGCCTTGCCTCACTCCCGTCCTCA